GTAATCGAACCGAAGCGGCGCAACTTTCAGCAATGTTTCGTTGTTCAGCGAACAATCTATGCACGTAACAGATGTGCCAAAGGAAGGATGGAAAAAGAGCCGCACCGAACAACGCCTGTCCGCAGTAGCTCAGTCGCTAAATGGTCGCAAGTCAAGGTTATGAGTTATGGGTAATGGGTTCGAGTGGTGGTTGGCGACACCCGCACTGCCATCCACTCAACCGAGGTATATAACTGATTACCATCGTCTGGGAAGGACCAAGAAAGGCTACACGCTGCACTGGCTACAAGGCTGCAGTCTTCAACGAATGTAGCTGTTCCGGCTGATCGGTCGGATTGCAAGGATGACCGAAGCCGCACCATAACCTACCTGAAGAAAACAGGCCAGGTCATAAAACTAATTCATGCTGTGTCATAAAACTTTGGGGGACATCGGAATCGCAGCGACCGCAAACTCGTTGACGATCCTACCTTTGCGCTCATCCAGCTGTACTACGGATATAAAATCAGACAAAGTCCAGTCGTTGACTGTCGTACACCTTGTTTACATAAGCTTGGGTCGCCGGGCTGGAAGTCCGGGGCGGAGGTTTCCAGATTTCCAGGTCCAGTGTGCAAGCAATTCGGATAAGCTAAGCTAGGCTTCGCTCAGATCATCGAAGTTCACTCAGCTTAGTTTCATCGGATCATAAACGAGGCATCCTCGGTCCTCTATAAATCCTGATTCTCACACTACGATTATAACTGAGACACAACCGAAAGTCGTAGCCGAGACAACAAGACGACAGAGACACGAGCTCTGCGGGGATTGGATGAGGTTGAAGCCTCTGCCGCCAGAAGACTATATAACTGGCAGCACGTACCAGAAACTTGCTTTCTGACTCTGAGCTTACGAAGTACTGCAGACGACCAGAGAGTCCAGATGTTGATCACCTGTTTACCTTGAAGAAGGCCCGCGAGACACAGCGAAAACCGAAACGTCGGTACGGATGAATCACTCGATCAACGAAATTAATTAAGCTGTGTATGAATTAACCGTGTTTTGTACTGCTTTCAGAGTGAACTTTCTCGATTGTTCGTCAGCCACTTCAATTACGAAATGGCATGCATCCCTTAGCACGCTTACACTTGTACTACGCAGCGTCGTTAACGATCAATACGAAATCGAAACCGAGGTTATGCCGTTTGCTGATTATTACACTAGACGATCACATATTAGTTGGATCCAGGCGAACTGCAGTCACATGAAGTTCTCACTCACACTGGACAGCATAGCGCATGCCTGGCCCATTATGGCATGACCAGACCAGAATTCCATGCTACCCTTACGTTTCGCGAGTTAGCGACTTACTGCCCATTTCTTGGCTGGCTACGCCGAGGCAACGTGAGGTTAATGCCTTGTTTAAAGGATTCGCGATAATGGCAAAGGTCGTCCTTCCAGCGAAGATTCGAACATTCGAACTCGGAACGCTGAGTTCAAAGCCGACTCTTTGCCACCGTTCTACCGTACGTTACACCTGCCACCGTTCACGCGCCAGCTTTCCTCGCACTCGCCCGTGTAGGCAGCAGTTTTATTTGTCCATACCCGTGCGTTGCCTGCAATCACAGTTTCGAAGCAGCGATCAGGCTACTGTGGCTACCTACTTACGCTTCCGTGGACTTACTCGCATCGAGCACAAGGAAGACCGTCAAGAATCCCGTTGCAGAATGATGGACGCCAACGAATAACGAATCGACAGGTGGTTTGGCTGGCGCCGGGACTACGGTGTCTTCAGCGCATTGTACGCAGTCGCCAGTGTACTAGATGTGACAGGTGTCATGAACAGAACGAACAGACACAGCACTGATTTTTGCCGATGACAAATTCGAACCGGGGACGCCTGGTGCCGTCGATGATTTGTTAGATTTCAGGAGCCTTGCCGAAGCGGACAGTTACAGTCATGTGTACAGCCTTGTTCAGTTGTTGTCAATGTACACGAAACATAACCCCTTTGATTCAAGTGTCTATTTCATTATTTCATTATTCATGTATTTTATACGAGCCGGTGTACAACGACCTGCCGTCGTTTTATACATAAAGCGTGTAAAAGTGACTTTTCGTTTTCGAGCAGAGGACTTTGCCAGAGTCAGTTTGCAACACCTCGAAGAAAGCTTTTTTCCTCAAGAGTAGGAAACAATCCACCCTCATGACTTGATTCAATCACCGAATCTTTACCACGCACGGCGTTCATATGATGTGCAATAAAAACACATAAAACAACGCTCTCTTGGTGCACTCGTTCTCGCACCTATGTTGTGAAACGGAACCACCATAGCTGAGCGCCAAGTGTGAACCGCATACCGTCACGAAAACTATGCTGAATTTTCATGCCATCGCTAACCGGTCGACAGGAGCCGGCATCTGATAGACCTTCTGCTCGCATCACATACTTACTTCGTTATTATTTTGTCATTATCATCTAACGATGAACTTAAATAGCAGAGTAACGCTGTCTGATGATGTCTGACCACTAGAAGTGCTACTTGAGACTGACACTATGCAACGTTCGCTGCTGTAGCAAAAGTCATATTTGTGGTCACTCGCAAGTAGGTCTGTCTCGATAAAGTGTTTCCAGGTTTCGTATTGTCCGTATTTAACGTGTATGCGACCAGTGCAAGGTTCCCAAACGGTGAAGGTTCTGGATATACCTCCATTCCCTTTTTTGGCCGCTTTATGAAACCTATGCCAGGCGTAGATGTGTGAGTTCAGATGAAATTATCCTCATTCAGGTTGTCATTAGTACATGGTCGTTTTTGACTGGATGGTATCATCGTATTTGGAGGATACTTCACAAACAGCGTCGTTAGCAGACAAGATTCATGAAGTTTCAGGACAACGGATGCTTCGAAATGGTGCACAAACACCGCAGACACGACTACTTTCAATACCGTGATTTTAGCATAGGTTCTTATTGGCTGATCATTCGGAATGTTACGCAGATTGCTGAAATCCCTAGATTTTAAGATCAGTGCATCCATCATTAGCCAAGGTTTCGAGGTACTTGAAATAGCCTACTCCTTCTATCGTAATATCATCTCATAGTGGCATGGTGGCGTGGCGGCAAAGTCGACTTTGAAAGCCAGAGGTGATGGGTTCAAATCTGCTCAAGGGACAATCTTTTTCTTGACCGCGAATTCCTTTGATGACGGAATTAATCCCACGTTAATTCGGCTGAACCTGCCAAGAAGCGGGTAATAAAGCAAGTGACTGGCGAATGTAACGAATAGCATGGCATTGTGATCTGATCATGCCAAAATTGACGAAGTGTATGGCGACTGCACTTCGCACTCACCCACAAGTTAGTTGATCCGTCCATGATAGTAATCAGCACAATGTGAAACCCTGATTTCTTTCCTTCTTTGGACGGTAGGAGATAGAAGCTCTCATAATCGTCATCCTCTTTTAACTGACTGATAGCCTCACTCCCACCACCATGTTACACACATTCTGGGTGAGTGTATAACTGAGTAATATACAGCCGTGGGGGGGGCACGATGTCATTAGCATACCTACGTGTGAGAAGAATGCTCTAATCAAATGCCCAGACAAGTGGATGGGAATCAGAGCTTCAGTTCCCGCAGTTCGGCCTCAAAAAACGGACAGAATTAACTCAGCCTAAAAGTTATGCAGGTCTCACATGCGGTACGCAGGTTGGGCTATCTGATTATCTGAATCATACCCACGCATCGCTTTTCGTAGTGATCAGACCTTCACTCTGTCACGTTATTCACGTGCTACTGAATACTCTTGTTTTATTGGTCACCGCGTCCGCTGGCTACAATCATCGCCATGTAGCAAATCTGAAGTAGTCGCCGAATGGTTAAACTGAAAACTTGCGCCCTAGCTCCCGTGGTGCCTAAAATTTATCGACGGGCTCACTGAAAATAAATGTGCTGGAAAAGGCTGCACCGTAATCCGGCTCTCCGCTGAGCGTACAGCAGAATATTTGTACACAGGATACATAAATGTTTGGGCAGAGGATTTTTGAGACCGACATCTTTTGCACAGTAGCTATTGAGGCTACGACATGAATTTTTTTCATACAGTTAAACTTTCATAAGCCATAGCGGTTGCCCGGGTGTAATTTCCGGCAAACGCTCTTATCTAGGAAGAAGTAGAGCACCTTTACGAAAACGTTGCCCTGCTGGACAGGCAAATGCGCTGTTATCACATTGTTCTGGTACCTCCTGATCGATTAAGTCAAAAGTTATGATAATCCCATCCTGCACTACCAATTTACAAGTGGAGCAAGGAGGTGAAGAACCTGAGGAGGTTGATCTATGTAAGTATCTCGATTTGATCGGCTCCAATGATGGTGCCGTTTACAGAATTAGAAAGGAGAATCATCTTCCTTCTTTTAGAAGCTTCTTCAACATTTTGGTTGAGAAATGAATATCTATTTCCACAAAAATCCGCTTGCACCTTCGCTCTGTCAGGCCAGTGTTGCTATACGGCTTTGAAACAGTTGTCCTAAGGAAACAGCGAGAATGGCTGTTGCACTTAGTGCCAAAAACCTTGGCTTCGACGCATATTGAGGGTTAGACGACAGTACCACATATGGAATGACTCTATTCTGTTTCGGGAACAAGTGACCTCAGAAAATGTGCAGATTAAAGAAGGGAGATTAGTCCTGTTAGACAAACAGGTTGCGCACACGCACCATTAACTCCATCCCATAAGCTTCTAGTGGAAACCGGAACACAAGAACGTCGACCAGGAGGCAAGTG